GTGTGTACTGGACAGGAACAGTCGTGGATGTTATTTATAAGACACAGGTACAGTCAGGGATGTAGAATAAAGTGTGTGTACTGGACAGGTACAGTCATGGATGTTGTTTATAAGCACAGGTACAGTCAGGGATGTAGAATAAAGTGTGTGTACTGGACAGGTACAGTCGTGGATGTTGTTTATAAGGCACAGGTACAGTCTTGGATGTTGTTTATAAGGCACAGGTACAGTAATCGATGTAGAATAAAGTGTGTGTACTGGATAGGTACAGTCGTGGATGCTGTTTATAAAGCACAGGTACAGTCATGGATGTAGAATAAAGTGTGTGTACTGGACAGGTACAGTCATGGACGTTGTTTATAAGGCACAGGTACAGTCAGGGATGTTGTTTATAAGGCACAGGTACAGTCAGGGATGTTGTTTATAAGGTACAGGTACAGTCGTGGATGTTGTTTATAAGGCACAGATACAGTCAGGGATGTTGTTTATAAGGCACAGGTACAGTCATGGATGTAAAATAAAGTGTGTGTACTGGACAGGTACAGTCATGGACGTTGTTTATAAGGCACAGGTACAGTCATGGATGTTGTTTATAAGGTACAGGTACAGTCGTGGATGTTGTTTATAAGGCACAGATACAGTCAGGGATGTTGTTTATAAGGCACAGGTACAGTCAGGGATGTTGTTTATAAGGCACAGGTACAGTCAGGGATGTTGTTTATAAGGCATGGGTACAGTCATGGATGTTGTTTATAAGCACTGGTACAGTCATGGATGTAGAATAAAGTGTGTGTACTGGACAGGTACAGTCGTGGATGTTGTCAATCAGGCACCGGTACAGTCATGGTGTAAAATTTCTAGAGTTGTCTGGACAGCACAGCAGAATCTTAGAGAGGTGGATCTAATAAAAATATTTACTTATACAAATATTTTCTTCGGATGTTATCGATAATTATAGGATTAATTTCCTTTAATATGAGCAATTATTTTAATACCATACCCTACATATTCCAGGTATCACACCACGGTTATCGACCAGTCAAGATGTTAATTGTTTCATGCATATGAAATTAATTTTTATTTCTTTTGAGAGTTTTTTTTTTTTTTTTTTTTTGGGGGGGGGGGGGGTCTTTTAGCCTATTTTTACAACTTTGTTACCTGTGCCTAGTAAATTTTATGTACTTTGTAAATAAATAATTTTTTTTTGTCAGGAACTATTCTTTTTCGGGGCATAGGAGGCTACTTCCTGGGGTGCACTTGAGATGTTTATATATAACACATTGAAAACGGGTGGATTAGCCCATTCCACCCGTATATATCGTAAGACATATATTTATGGGAAAAAACCTGTGCTTTTCATTGACACCTCTTGCGTGATCAATGAAATGGGTGAAATTAATAATATTGTGACGTACTTATACTTTCTAACATAAAATTAAGGATTACAATTTAATTCCAATATTTATTTTAATTTCCTTTTTTATTTTACTTTGTTTATTGTTTACTCGTATATTTTCTATAATTATACTAGCATGTTTCATTTTAAATTCATCATTGTTATTGAGCATGTAGGATATTGAAATCATGCCCCCAGCCCCCCCCCCCCCCCCCCAAAAAAAATTAAAGACCTGGCTCACATTGTACTCTGAACATAAAGCTTTAAATTTAAATCTGTAAAAGTTTTGGATCCTTCCCTAATCACTGCTGACATCGTTTGTCTCGGTATCACTGTCATGGGTAATATAAAGATTAGCGTTAACTGCGCTTTGATTGAATTCAGTCTAAATCTAAATCGGAGAAAATCCACAGAATTTTTTGTTGTGGATGTTATTAATCAAGCGCGGGTTAAGTTAATCAAGCGCGGGTTGAGTCAGTGGTAGTGTGTATGTACGGCACAGGTACAGTCGCAGATGTTGTATTATACAGTCATAGATATACAAAATGTACGCTGTAGTAAATGTTACTTTTTAGAGATAATAGCGATCTATGCAATGGATTTAGGCATAGTCAAGCTTACAAATATATTTTCCGCGATATATTCACTAAGCTAGTTATCGTTACCGTTTTGGCGATTACAGCCTTCCATAAAGTAGATTAATTATTAACACATTTCGTATGTTTCATTAAAAAAACAATCCATACTTAATTAACAACATACAGTTTAATACGTTGAACAATCCGGAAAGTGTTGCTCTGACATTCCGTTTTTGATATTAGTGAGCAGGTACAGTCATGGATGTCCGGTACCAGCATTGCCGAGTACAGTTGCGGATGATAGCTGACAGCCACTGTTGCATGGACGTTGCGCTTATGGATTTTGCTTTGTTTCCATTCCTAACTTCCTAGACATGGATTTTAAGATCTCACTAATATCCGATACGCCTTTTAAGGTATTAAAAGGCATTTTAGAAAAAAGTAACATGTCTTGTTATTGTAAGTATGCAATTTTAGAAAGGAAAAAGACATGAAAAGTCTATAGAACTGAAAGAAATTTAGAACTGTGAAAAAACTTAACAGGTTTGTCACGTCACCTATCGTCAAGTGATTGCTCTGTGAATCCTATGACCGTACAGTAAAAATCATTGGGTTTTTTTCAAAAATTTAATAAATGGACCTGATTTTTTACATACTAATAAACAAAAGATAAGAATTTAATCAAACATACGTCATTCTTCAAAGTACGCAAGAAATGTTCCGTAAATCAGTGTGTCCGCGAACTTTTCTAACAACCGTCGTATATATATATATATATATATATATATATATATATATATATATATATATATATATATATATATATTAGTGTTGTCAAATCGGACGATTTTTAGTAACCGGTTACTCGCTTACTTTTCCGATCCAGTAACCGGTTACTCGGAAGCTTTTTCTTTAGACATCGACACATTCTTGTTCGCAGTATATAAACTCAGCTGTAATTTAAACTGTATGCAAGGTGGTTACAATTTCTGTATTTATCTTATCATTTACAAAACACAAATGCACTGCATATGAACTTTATTTATAATTACAAACACACACTTTCTTCTAAATAAATTTGTTCTCGAACACCCCGTGATCGTTGGCTGTTTTGCGCTTTATGTATCGCTGGTTTCACAGTTATATTTCAGTCTGAGGTGGATAGGCATAATAGTTGTTCCACCCGTGTATGTTAATTCCGTTTCACATAATTTACACCTCATGGATTTAAATTCAGCCATTCTTTTAAAAATGTTTCCACGCTTTCGATGCATGTGGCGGCAACTTCTTTAACCATGTACTGCGGACTACCACAGGTTTATGTTAGGTAATTATAATTAAATCAAGCCTTCAAATCTTGTATAACCCTTGGCAGTCATAGCCATTAAGTAGATAAACTGTGAAATACAAATCAAAACAAATCGACCGCATTTGTAAAACGCTAGGTCGAGACTAACGTTAAATAACGGTAAATAAAATGGGGACATTATAAACAGAAATATATATTATTCCTACTGTTTTACTTTATAAAATTCAATATAACCGAGTAACCGAGTAGCAGTATTACTAACCGATACTCGCATCGTTCGAGATTAACCGGTTAACCGGGTACTCGTTGACAACACTAATATATATATATATATATATATATATATATATATATATATATATATATATATATATATATATATATATATATATATATATATATATATATATATATATCGTGACACATATGTTTTAGGTATAGTTAAACCCTTTATACGATTATTATACATACATAAATATCAACAATAAAATGTCTTCCTTTGTTAATGAGGGATTAACGATTGCGATCATTGTAGAAAAAATAAATAACCCATCTATAAATAGGTTATGCATTTTTGTTTTCTGCAATGGTTGACTTGTAATCGTTATATTAATATTCCACATTACAAACAAAGAAAGCATTTCATTGTTTAAACATGAGCCGACGACTTTGCATTCAATTCTGAAAATTTTGATTCATTTTTTATTTTTACTTATCTAAGACCAGAGAGCGTGTTGCAGTTTTTTGGTATTTTCCCTAAAAGTGTAGCAGATAATGCAAACAATTTAAAGTTACAGAAAACGATGTTCATTTTTTTCAGATATGATATATGCCACAAAGTGTGAAATTAAATTTGGAAATTTTATATCGATATAAAATACACATAAATTAAATATAAATTACTCACACCTAAACTATGACATATTTTGTGCTTTTTAGGTAGGGAAGCCCCTGGCCATTGTTCTGAAATAGAGCATACTTGAAACAGAATTAATTTGATGCATACCTTAGGAGCCAGGGATTTTCCTCAAATCTGTAATTTCTGATTTTTGTTTCAAAGTGGCTTTTAACTTAAAAATTGGAATAAAAATATTTTTCTTTTATATCTAAACCCATAAATACTCTCTGAACATAAAATACCCTGTTTAGACTTTTCAATCTCTTTTTTTTTTTTTTTTTTACTTTTTAAACAACTTTTAGATCTTATGAAATTCTTTTACTACTTTTGGGCTTTTTGGTTGAATCTCTTCGGTTCTATTCTTATTTGTTCTAGCTCTCAGCTCTTGAGTATTTTAGACTTTTGACAATTTCTGATTTATCTACAAAATTATTGTTTATATCAATGGTGTTGGTATATTCTGATAACATTTCAGGATTTACATTAAATACATGTACTATACGATCACGGTGTATTAATAAAAATTTTGATGATTGATTGTACATGTATGTTGTTTTACGCCCCGTTCGAAAATTTTCACTCATATAGTGAAACCATATACACCATATACCGGTGAAGGGCTTCAAATTTAGACCTTTACTCAGCACCCAGGACCATTGAGCAGTGAGGGTTCTTTAACGTACCAACGTCTACCGTAATACGGGACCTCGGTTTTTAAGGAAGGTCTCATCCGAAGTACCCGCAACTTTCACTTCAAAGTGGCGAAGTTTGGCGAAGGACAGTTGCTACCTATTTTATATCGACTTAGTCAGTTATCCGAACACACGACCTTCCGAGCACGTAAAAATTTCGAAAAAGACACAAAATCTTTTTATGGCTCATAGAACTCTCTAATAGTTTTTTTTTTTAAATTTATTATTATTATTATAATTATTATTATTGTATATAACGAGTATGTCATTAATTAATTTACAACTTTCTTTCCTGATCAATACTTTATTATAGAAGTAATTGGACAGAGCTATTCTCCTAATTAAAAAATCCCTTCAGAAAGTTCAGGGAACTAAATCTTTTGGAACACAGTTGCCTTCAGGAAGCCAGAAGCATTTTCGTTTGGTATCACAGGTTGCCTTTTCTTTGGCCTTGAGACAGTTGGTAAGTTCAAAGGCCAAAGTGCGCCTTTTTATATAGTAATTCCTATTCACGGCCACGTTTATTTTTGCGTCACACTTTGTGTCACATTTAGCGTCAAACTCCACAGCACACTTGGAAGCACACTTAGCGTCCAGCCCAACAGCACACTTGGCGTCAACCCATTTCTCTATCGACTTCAGTACAGAGTCACAATTTTGCAACAGCGTTGTATAATATCCAAAGACATTTCCTTCAATAAATGAAAGTTGCTGTGATAATTCTCATTACTACAAAATTTATCTACTTTTGAAATTTAATATAGGTTATTGGTAAATTGATTTTTCCTTTGACTGCCTTTTATGCGTTGTGAATGTCTTTTCATGACATGCATCGGCTTAGTCTAAGTTTGGACCAAAGAAAAAGTTCTTATTAATTTAATTATGCATTATTTAATCTTTTAATTAATGTATACATAATGTCATTCATATTGCATTTATCAGTAAAATACAATGTGCCCCCTAAAAAAAATAAATTAAAAAAAAAATAAAGATCCCAAGTTAGTACTAATGTAAAGTCAGGAACTAGGCCCATTTGCAAGATCTGATTTTCAGGTATGATTTCACATTTGACTCCAGTATTTCATTTACATTGTATGTTTTATCAATATGTAGTTCATTAATATTTCCCTCCAATTTTCTTTTTGTTTACAATTCAACAATGGAAAACGACAAATACATTTAAGTTATATCTTTTAATGATAGCATGTGTGTATTTTGATTAATGCAGTATCATTTTTTCAGACTAAATCTACTTCGTTGTACATTTCTTTTAATTATCCAAACCATTTCTTTCTTTGATAAATTGTTTTCTTTTTCAATATAAGCAGGTGGAATGAAACTCCCTTCAGATTTGGCTGCATAAAATATAACACTAATCGTAAATTAATCGTAAATTTATCTGGAGTAAAAGGCTTGTGATTGTCATATTTACACAGACTGATTTGTAAGACTGCGAGTAAAAAGGCCTTAGCTGGATAGAGTAACACAGCATTGTTAACTTCCTACCTCAGATCATTATATACTGTAACTAAATTTCTAGCCTTTCATTTTTATGAATGGAATGCTGATCCCTTCGTCTCTCTCAACACTTTGACCTTTTTATATGTTCATAAATATTAAAATATGTAGTATAGGGAATTGAAAATAAAAAGATTTTTTCCCTCAAGAATAACGTAAACCTTACCAAAGGGATTAATTGTACGTAATTTCAGGGGATGGGTGGAAGGACCTGACCACCCTTTTTTTTCTGAACATGTTTTTTTTTTAATGTTAATGTAGTTTGAAAATGTTCACTGAGAGACCTGTCCCCTTTTGTTGTAGTAGAATCAAATCCTCCCATGTTGATGTATTCAGACCCCCCCCCCCCCCATTCAAAATCGACGCTACGTGCCTGGGAGAGGAATATATTTCAGATTTTATAACTATTTTAATCATCCCTATGAGGACAAAAAAATTTCATGTTATTACTAATAAAACTTCTGGCCCTCTGCCCTCTAATAGTGCAAATCAGTAAATTATTTCTACATTCTAGGATGGACGATTTAACACGATTTAAGAGTTCGATGCAAAATTATTAAAAATCTGTCAATATGGTTTATTCTTATTATAAGAATAAAATATAACGATAAACTAAACGTCTTACCTCTATCACCATTAGGTAAACATCTAAATGGCAATTCTTGTCCAATGACAACAGTGATACTGGCGCTCAAAATAGCGAGAAAACATATGGTTGAAAAATGCATTCCTGAAAAATATTTTAATAAAAGTAATCTGTATTTGTTATATGTATGGAAGAATTTAATAAATATCACAGTATGTTTTATACTATAAACATTCAGACTTACCTATACAGTGCTGATAATACGAAATTTCGAGAGATACTTGTCGCTTATTCTCGCCTTTACATGTGTCAACGTTGATGTACAATCCAGCTTTTAAGTTAAAAATCCAGGTAATGGATTATATATGTGCACTCTTAGTCTAGGTTACCCAATTCATAACTCCTTTCACAATGTCTTCATGTAGTATACTTCCGAAACACTCCCTTTACTCCAATATTATTCGTCCTTCCCCATTACGAATTTCTTTAACACAATGACGACTCTTCTCTTATTTAGAATGTAAGGAATTTCAGTTGTGTATGATAATTACCACAAAGTTCAAATTGTAAAAGTCTTGAATGCATTATTGCATCTCATTTACTTAGTACGTGTTTTTTTTAAATTTTCAAAAACACAGAGAAATCAAGAATATTTTTAAAAATGTCTATAAACAAAAGCATTTTACATCCCGACCCCCCCCCCAAAAAAAAAACAAACAAACAAACAAAACTCAAAAAGACCCCATCCCCACCCACCCCCTCCTACCCAAAAAAGTAGACGTTGATTAATCGATTATGAATTTTGGAAATACTTTTGTACGATCCAATCGATCATTTGATTCGCCCAAGCAAATGACTACTTTATTTCATTCGTTTTTAATTAAAAATAATACACACAAAAAAGTTTCTAATGAGGCAAACTTTCCATTACTTTATTGTAAGGTTACATATAAGCTGAAAAAAAGCTTTGGTTTTGGCGACATATGGAAAGCGATCGAAGAAAGAGAGAAAAAACAGAAGCACTTGATTGACTCTGAATCAAAACTAAAGGTTCAAGCTTAAGTGGTTCAATAAATGAGGAATGTCAAAGTGTAGGGAAAAACGACAATATTAGTATATGAATTACAAAATATTTATTTTTTTAAATTAAATGGTTGGAAAGCATTTGTTTTATTATGTAAAAAAAATTACATTTGCGACTTTTAGTATGATTAAGATGTTGGAGGCATATGTTTTGAAATCATTGATAGTTGTTGTGAAGTCATGTACATGTAATTACATTCAGTGACCGTCATCCACACATAAATTGGGGAGGGGGGATTAATTAATGAACAAATATATTAGTTTTGAACCCTTGTTGTCGAAAAATATTCAAAATGTTTAAGATAGTTTTAGTGTTATTTAGCAGCTTTCAAAGTACAGCTCAAAATTTTTTAGCCTACACGCAACATGCATTTGTGAACGATTGAATTACTGCAGTAAAAGCTCACTTTGTAAAAGTATTGTATTGCTACTAAACAAAGATGCAAACGGAGAAGAATGTGATGAATGTGTAATTTTATTATGGTTTTTATATTTAAGATTTATATTTTATTTTTAAGTCCTTAGTTAGTTCCCCTTTTTGTGCGAATAACAGCCTTAATGCGAGTAGGTAAGCTATGAACAAAATGAAATGTGAAGATAACGAACAGAGGTCATTCTCAAAAGTCCCTTTAAACAATAACAACTAGGAGCAGAACCATTGTGGACCTCTGAAAACAGAAATAGATGAGGTGCCATGGAGGAGTAAGCATCCCTTATCGACTGGTCACACTCGCCTTGTGCTCCTTGTCATGATCGAGTAAACGGAAAAAATCCGTACAATTCAGTGTGAAAATAATGGCCTGACAATCTGTATGAAAGACATAAGTCAACATTCGAATTAACGACAGATTGTATTTGCAAATAAGGTCTTTGTATCGACCAAAGAAATTGTAAAATGCTGACTTTAAACGAGATTGTTGATATCCATGTACATGTATTATCAACTTATTTCTCTATAGCCTATCTCCTTTTAGAAATTGTTCATATGTAGAACATGCTCTTCCATATCGAATCAACTGGGAGACATAAACTCCATATGCAGGTGATAATGGTACATGTATATAGCTACATAAATAAGGGAAAATGAAGAAAGAAAAGTTGAAGTCAAAGTTTAGTTGGGATATTGCCATTGATATCGTTCTCTAGAAAGGCAATCAAATATGAAAGTTATTAAAGATACTCTTTTTGGAATTGAGCATCATTCCCGCTAGAGTGCCTTCCACATATCATTTTCAACATGTCTTGTCCAAACTTCTTCTTTGCTCGACCAAGTGTATTAAATTGGGTTTAATTAAATCTGGACTATTTTTCGGTCCCATTTGTGTCGAAATTGCATTGCATTTCTGGAACTCTCTTATACTCGGAAGGAGATTATGAAAGGTTTATAGTCCCAAGTGTGCTTGTTTAAAATTTCCAAGAAAACGATTTTACTTATTATTTATCGCATTGTCATTTCTCAAAAAGCACAAGATAGATTCTCAAACGCAATGAAGTTTCAACACTCCAGGTGCCAGGAAACAGTCCTGATTTAAACCCAAATGAAGCATTTGGGGTCGAATAAAATAGACCAGCCTTTGTTAAAAAAAAAAATATGTCAAAGATTAAAACTATATGCTGAAAGATTTCCATCGGGAATGTTTCTCAATTCCAATAAAATTCTATAAAATCTGAATTCTTAGCACCTGGTCGCATAGAGACATACATTCGATCAAAAAGTAGAGAAACCATAAACGTTTTGTTGAGCTTTATAGTGGCGATATTCAAGGCCGGGTGTTCAGATGATGAGCAAGTGTTGAAGAAAACATGTTTTAAGAAAATAATTTGAGTGGTTCAAGAAGACCCAGATGAACCAACAAAGCCAGGGATCACCACTTGATCTGGGGGTAAAACATATAAAACAACGTATGGTTTCTTAATGGAACAAAGTTCCTGTTTATTTTACATAAATATGTAAACATGTCTTTGTGTCTTAAGAGTCTTTGTAACAATAATCTAGCTATAAATTATAATGAGCAGAAAAGTTTCTTTATCAAGAACTTAGACTACATTTCAAATATCATTCACTACCTAATTAATAAAAGTGGATCTGAAAATCTCAGTGTTTTTCCTTTTTATTATTTGTATATACAGCAATTTCTCTAATTATGAGCCAGGTTGCTTGTCCCTTTGTGACTGTTATTTTCAGACACTTGGTGGGTTGTTTTGAATTTGACACATCGACGTTAATTTTGCCTTGAATAAAATTACCTACAAAACTGAGATTTGAACAAGCGACGTTTTTCTTAGAAATTGATTTCACATTTGTACCGAATTCTAGAATTCCAGAATGAAGATAATCAGCCTTTTGTATGCTTTTTCCAGTGAGCACAACTACACGTGCGAGGCTCTGTGGTGATTTGAAAACTATAGTATAGTGGTCTCCAATTCGTGGAGTAGTGGACCAAAACATTTCATTGTCAGATGTAGAATACGCAAATTCGGGCTTGAACGACATCCATGCAGAAAGTGACGTAAATATATCTGCTTCGGGGTTATCTCCATGGTAACGTTTCTTGAAAGACGGAAAATGGGAATAGGATACAGTGGAATTTCTTACCAAATTTGGCATAGAAGAAAAATATCCTCTATGTTGAAAGAGTGAAGGAATTCTTATGAATCGACTCCCTTGTAACATGAGTTTTAAAAAGTAAAAAATTAAATAATCACAGGGTTGTTCGTTATAGAACGTTCTGAGTAAACATGCCAGTTTTCCTAAATCATTTGCTTTGAAGAGTTTTCCAATGAATCCCTGACTTGAAAATTCTAGCATTGTCCAATATTTAGATTTATGCATGTACTCTTTTATTTTAGAAATAAACTTGGGAACTGTGATGACGTCATCCTCTAGGTGTAAGTAGTACTGCGACCTATTGGCACAATGTTGCATTAAGAAAGAGTAATCCAAATTCTGTTTAGAGCGCCATCGGACCCTCGTCTCTGAATCATTGAAGGTTGCTTTTAGATGCGTCAGAGGGGCATACAAATCTTCCGGTGTTTCTATCATTGTTATTAGTCCACGTTTTACATGTGGGAGAAACATTCTTGTTAAGTTAGTTTTAATGTTTTCCCTACACGCCTTGCGTGTATCACATATGCATACGACAATCGTGACCCCATTGTCTCCTTGCATGTTATTGATAAGGGACGTCAAGGTAGAACTCAGGTAATTCTTATTCTTACGACATACTGTAGGAATACCAATCATCAACCAAGCTGTAAATAACGACAGAGAAAAAACAGGTGAAATTGTTACATAATAGAATGAAATACACATATTAGAATTAAATTTACCAGTTTAAGCTGTGAAATTTTATGGTAAAGAAATATGAAAGATTATCATTTACACAGATAATTCAATAATATAATATATGAGAGAGAGAGAATAGAACAGTGCTGTACAAAAGGGACTGACTAAATTCTAACTGAAGGACAGTGACCAGCCATAGAGCATACGAGAAATGAGTTGTTGTTTTTTTTTTTACCGTAAGTTGTGGTAATTTTACCTTTCTTTGGCTTCCTATTCTGTAAAAAAAAAAACCCAGAAAAATCTGTTACTTTAATTCAATCATTAAAGAAGATGGGCAAACAGGGCGAGAAAAATGCCTATTGTGCGACAAATATGAAAGTAAAATATTAAATCTCAATTATACCAAAATTTTCTTTGATATTTCATTTAACTTTATGAAAAATCTCCACAAATCGCAACAATCTCACAAATATTAAAATAATCGTCTATAGCATACACCAAAGAGAGCAAAACTGATCAATTCTTCATACTAAAACACAGTTTTTCCACATGAGTGGGTCTTCGCTCCATTTGTTTGAAAGATTATATTCAAAGTATGTGTAAAATATACATTCCTCGGTTAATGTTAAAAACCCCTATACCTTAAAAATACACTTTCATGACACAGTATTCGTATCTTTCCAAGAAATATTAAAATCCATTTAGTCAAGGCCTGAAGGGTCTTAACACAAACTTGATTTTTAATACCGATATTTTTATGAGCGGTAAAGCGTAGTGCTTAGGGTGTTAGTGTCTCGAAGGAAAAATTGTTGATATGGATTTTTATTGCTTGTTCGAGCCCTTTTAAAATCATAAAATTCCTTTTGCCGAAAGAGTTTTCCTAAGAAAAGTTTTGTTTGCCATACTTTCACATCTTTCAATGATAAGAACTTTAAATACTGAAACCCACAAACTGAATATGACTTTTATAAATTTAAAGCTATAGGCATTTTGCACGCCTTGTTCGCCCCTCTCCTTTGGTATGTGGAAAAGTAACAGAAATATGGAACCATACATACCTCCCACTGCACTATACGTTGTTCCAGAATCCCACTTTTTGAGAGCGAACCTTAAGATATTGAAATATGAACAAAAGATAATCAGAAACTCAAATTGTTAATTTAACGCGTCTAAAGAAAATCCAAACATCGTTATTATTTCAACAATTACCAAATTAAAAAGAATTTAGAAATGAAGTTACTTCAACATGTACCAAAAAGAATTTAAAATCAAGATTAATTTGTAAACAAAAAAAGAAAAAAGAAAACTTCGTTTTTAATTTATTGCCTAACATATCAGTAGTTCTGTACCTTTTGCATAATAAAGGACAGAGCATATTCATAATGTTTTATGTTATATAAACATTGTTTCTTTTGACAGGTTATATTGATTTATCCTTTATGACATTGTCTCAAATAAATCTTTCCTAAGTAGATTATCTTGACGGTCAGCACATTCTAGTCATGGGAACAAAACAATATGAATAGATACAATTTGGTATGGTATAAATTCACAAAAAGTTCAAATAAAGTTATTTGTTTCAAAATCCTCAAAACGTCAGCTATCCCGGGTCCACAGGCTGTCGTGGGAGGAACACGCGTGAACTCGGACGCCATGACATTGTGAGGATGATGTCAGTTATTGTAAAGCAGATTTATTTATCAGAAAGGTGTTTAATCAAAATAAACGTAAAATTTCTAAAGTTAAAAGTTACTTGTTAAACTAGTTAAAAACTCTCTTTACCAGTATCTAGACTATCTATAGCTAATTAACTATTTGGACCCAAACCAATAATTCAGCTCATACAATCTTTGCAATATGACCTTTATTTATTTATATTTTATATATATATATATATATATATATATATATATATATATATATATATATATATATATATATATATATATATATATATATAAAATTCTTGTTTATCGATATATTCATAATAAAAAAAAAAAAAGAAAACATAATGAAGTAGTTGAAATATCTCTATGCATTTTATAAATTATTGAGATGAAAAAATGTTTTCCATTGTATCTTCGAACCCATGATCTATACATACCTTCAATACGAAAATTTCCTAAGTACTGCCAAAGAGTGTGTATATACATACACATGGACAGGGTTATAACAATCCAACACACGCGATAGCCACACCAGCACAAAAATCGCAGTTTCTTCATCATTTCATTTAGGCATTTCTGCAACCATTTTTATTATTCAAATAAATATTAATGTACATTTCAAATACTGATATTCTAACACAGGTTAGAAATAATTCAATAAAATAAGAAATATCTCACCGAAAAATCTGTAATCAAAAATTTGTTTATCCTAGGTATTAAGGTAATAACAAGAAATGACCAGAGTTATATATTTATGTTCCTTATGACAACTCTAGGACCATCAAATGGACAGTAGTGACCAGAGATGGCCGTAGATCACAACCTGTGAACTCCCATACACTGTCAGTACGGATCCCAAGACATCCTTTGGTTTGGAGAAAGTTCACTTGTACCAGTATCATCCTATAACACTAAGACAACTAATCCTACCGTGAATCTACAAAAAATTAAAATGGTTTTAATTTTGACAGATTGCATTCAAGATGAATTGTGTAACATTAACTATTAAGTACGTTCTGGAAGGATTGGTGGCCAATTGATTCATAATTCAGGAAACATAACAAAGTAAATTGTGTTACATGACACGGAAAAGTGTGCAGCAGATCTACCATTCTCTTCTTGCTGAAGTGAAACTTTATTTTCCTGACACTCGAATTATTTTAGTTTTGAAAAATTACAGTTAAGATGCAATATTTTAATATCATGCAAAATCTTAAGACAACCCATTTAAGAATACATATTTATGTCTCGTTTACATACATAGGCGTAGGAAGCAAATTGAAAGGGGGGGGCTAAACCAACCCCCCAAAAAACGTTTGGGGGACTAAGCCCCAATTTTCAATGCCTATATTATGTCTATCTTTGAAAAAAAAAGGGGGGGGGCTAAGCCCCCCTAGCCCCTAGTTCCGACGCCTATGACATAAGTGCAAGTGGTTATTAGTTTCTCTAATCATTAGCAATGTACTCAATGGACAGCTGCCCGATTTCCTTATTTTGTGATTCGCTTTTTAAACAAAGCTACGTGTATATGCCAATCATTGAACTATATATAAACAGTAGGCTACTAACAGGTGGCTCCTCCCTATCCCCGGGAGGTTATAATTTGAACAAATCTGAATCTACACTTCCTAAGTTACTTCCATATAGATATGACTAATCTTGGCTTTGCTGTTCTTAAGAAGAAGATTTTTTAAGATTTTTCCTATGAATTTCATTGTAAAACTTTGATAGTCTAAGGTGGCCTCTCCCTAACCCCCCCCCTCCGGGGGGTAGTCATGATTTGAACAACTTTAATCTAGACTACCTGACTGAGGATGCTTCCACATACATGTAAATGTCATATTTTCTGGCCCAGTGGTTCTTGAAGAGATATTTAAAAGACGTCATTAATTTTTTCCTAAATCATAATTTCCCCTTGGAAAAAGTCATATAGCCCTTGATTTGAACAAATTTGAATCCCCTTTACTCCAGAATACTTTCTGATAAGTGAAATTGGCCCAGTGGTTCGTGAGAAGAAGTCGAAAATTTTAAAAGTTTACAGACAGACAGACAGAACGTGATCAGAATAGCTTACTTGAACCTTCGGCTCAGATGAGCTAAAACACCATTCCCTTGGAAAATCAATTGTTTTTAACAGTTAGAAAAATGTGGTGGTGGTGGCGGTGTCCACGTTTTCCAGGGGCTGGGGGGGAGGGGGGTCCAAAGTCATTCCTTATTTGCTTCAGTATATACTTTTAATAATTCTGCAAATTCCAGGGGTCCGGACCCCCCCCCCCCTAGATCCGCGCATGGTTACGACATGTGTTTGTAAGAAAATGATTTGCGTTGACCATCACCCGGCATCTAAAACCTAAACTTGATGAGTTGTGTACAAGATGTAAATTCTTTTCATAGCAACAAGTTTTTTTTTTCATTGTTTTTAACGGTATTCTGCTCATGCCACTGAAATGCTTTCATTTGATACATAGGTGAAGTTCTTGTATCACGTAGTTGAAACTGTATGTTTGATTTAATTGCATTTTAATTAGTTGACTGAATATCATCTAATCAGATGCATTGATTTTGACGTTATCAAAATAATCAAACTTTTGAGAACAAAAAATACGTATGAACACCATGTAAGTATTATCTCTATCGAAATGTACACAAAGTTACTTACTATGTGTTCATATAACTTTAATTTTGAATTGAGCTCCGATCTCGTTAAAGCACCCGCCACATATCTTTCAATATCAAAGTTGTTGCCATGTTTTGCATGAGGTCCGGTCTTCTTTATTTCACCCCAAATATTTTAACATGTATTTGAGTTTGAATCAGGACTAGTCTACAATAACAGAAATTGTAGAAACTACGCTTAGTCTGAGAAACTTGTGCTTTTTGAGGTATGGCAGTTACTAAATATTACATACAAATCGTTTTCTGGGAAATACTTATGAAGCATGATACTTATATCTTTCAACATCTCCAGTTGAGCAAAAGAGAGTTTTGAAACGCATTCGATTTCCTACACCTAACGCGGCCGGGAGAATAATAAGAATATGGTACTCAATTCCAAATACGTTCTGCGAAACCTTAATTAATTCATAGTAAACCTAGTGGCATTGATAAGGCCTTTATTTGGGGGAAAGGTGGGAGCAACTCAATAATAGAAAAGAAATATCAATCATGAATGTAAAAAGTTTAATTTTGCTTCTCATGCACTTGTTTGTGCATTTGTTTTGTGGTAATTAATATTAATATATTTATTTCCAAAATGTGAATTTAGTTAGTTCAAAAAGCATTAAGTTAAAAAGTTTTTTTTAGCTGTATATCATTCATTAAATACCGTCTTCCTATATTTAAGCACAATGGGATCTTTACAATAATGACGATTTGGTGCCAATTTTGAGGTTGTAAAATGTACTATAATGTCTGTCAACAACCTGGGATATTTCTCACTATTCCATAAATGTTGCTAACTGTGGATTCTGGTGAGGGTAAATTTTAAGTAAATACAAAAACATGTACATATAAATGCATAATTTTATGTTTTATGCATCTTTTTTATTTTAGACCTTCAGAGGGCTTGTATATGGTGCTGAAGAGAGAGAGTTTGGCGTATGTTTTTGCGACTCATGTGAGCGTTATGCTCTATGGGCCTCATATTACAGTTAAAAACAAGGAGTAGTCATTAGGTTAACACGCATTGCGCTTGGCCAGCTGTCAAATATCGTTCATCAGATCAAACCCAACGGCATTGTACGCCTACAGTTTGTAAACAAAATGAAATAATATTACAAATATTTTGCGAAGATAATTTCGCCTTTAGACTCTACTGTGCATCAATTACTTGGATACCTAATGTACCTAATGGCTATTGATTACATCTTACTCTCTGACAACTCTCTGTGATATTGAATACAATATAAAACTTTTTAAAAAGACTATAATAGCTGCAAATACTTGATTTTTCATACTTAACAATTGCTAAACTATATGTTTATATTTCTGCATCGGTATCTGATTCTGCATCATCCCATTATGTCTTCTCTGCCAAGAACAGAAAACACACACACACACACACACCCTTACATGCATTATATGTACATTCCTATTACTTAGAGATGCGTACACAGCCGAGATGTTTAGTGTCTGTGTCGGCCAGGAACTCTGAGTGTTAAAGGATGCTGGAAGTTAGGGAATAAACATTAGTTATTTCAGAGAAAGGAACATGGAAGAAGAAAAGAAGGTCAGTGTAGGTTATATTAGGATTGTTTAACTATTGTAATAGCTAAATAGACGGGTTATATAGATTAGATAAATAGATAGGCATATTCTGCTGTTCGGCTGCTGCGTGTTTTAGAAAATGACGAAAATCTCGTACTCCAGTAACATCATTGCTTTCTACGCATTATGTTTCCATCACTTAATTTAAATCAATAAATATTCAATTTTCTTCCGAAGAATTCGATTGGACAACAGGCTTTGAGCCCGTGAAATTCCAATCATTTGATAAGGCATATGCATAGACATTAATGTTAAATTTATTTCGATCGTTACCTTTGCAAAGTTCGAAGTAAATCCAGTGCTTACTTTGCTTGTTCTTGGTATTGAAATGTAAATGTACATATTACCTTCATGGTGTACATTCATATGCATTATTTTACAGAAAACCAAGTCTAATAAAGATATAGAAGACGGCGAATCAGAGAAGTGGACACAAGAGAGTCTACAGCGTCTCCTAGCTGACGCAATCACGCACCAACTTCCGCTGGATGATATCAAATTGATCTTGGATGGTGGAGCAGATATTAACGGAATGGTCACAAAAGGTCTGAGACCCCTTCACTACGCCACATTCGTCAATTCAAGTGAATGTGTTCAATTTTTGATTAACAATGGGGCATCGGTTAATCTAACTGATGACGTTGGTTACACACCCTTACATATATGTTCCAGAAAGGGCTATACCGATGTCATGAAGATTTTAATAGAAAATGGAGCCACTATCAACTTCTGCTCGGCTGAGGATGGAGAAGTTCGAGAATCTAGTCGTTCCTTGGGCTATCTAACATTGGAACCTCTGAATATTGCCATAGATCAGAATCACACAGACTGTGTTCAACTTCTACTACAGAATGGGGCCCGCCCCGATAACAAGTATTTTATGGGGTATGAGATAAATTTAGTACCTTTAGATCATCTGCAATGCTTGAAATTGATTATAGATTATGGTGCGGATCCAAATACTTGCAATAGGTGTGGAATAACTCCTCTGATGAGGGCATGCAGAGAAAATAACGCACGTGCTGTAAACTTTCTCCTAGAACACGGAGCGGAAGTTGACGTCGAGTGCCCACCTCGATTTGAACAGAGGAGGGCTATACATTTTGCAATTCAGGTTGGAAACTTGGAAATTACGGAGATCTTGCTACAAAATGGCGCGTCCAGGGATCGATCTGAGAATTACAGATACAGTCCTTTACATGAGGCAATAATAAGAGATCAAGTAGACTTGTGCAAATTGTTGATAAACTACGGAAGTAACGTTAATGAAAGAACAGAAAGTGACGCCACACCGGTAATGTTAGTTTGTGGTACAGAGGGGCTTCACAACAGAAGACAACTTCTTGATATCCTTCTCAGTAGCGGAGGTGATGTTAATGCATTCTCAGACCGTGTCAGTTATTCTCACCCGTGCTTATCGCCTCTCACGGAATACCTTAGGCTTAACGATGAAGTGGCAGAATTTGAAATAGTTTCACTCCTTGTCCAGTATGGAGCTAGGATCAGTTTTCGTGGAACTCGTGGTGTAAAACACGCGAGAGATCCATATGGAATATTGTCTTTAATGCACAAGTTTTCCTCAAAAGACGACATGTTTAGTCTTCTGGTGGAAGCTGCATTTTTCTTTGATGTGGACAGTATAAAAGAGACCGATTCGATAGCACCTGACGTTAAGCAATACCTAACAATGTTTGGAAATCAACCAAGACAGCTTAAACAAATTATACGACTATCTCTTCAGAAGTTGTTATCTCCTCGATTTCCTAGCAAAGTTCGGAAATTGCCTGTACCGCCTTTCTTGAAATCATATCTTTTGTTTCATATTTAATAATGCAAACAAAAAAAAAAAAAAGATTCCTTACTGGTTTGATCCTCTCATCAGATAGAAACGCTATTTACCATAAAAAATAAATTATTGTAACTATTTTATAGTTTATTAACAAGAAATCAAGAAAATATGTTTATTTACAGACTTTACAGACCATAGCTCGAAATTTAAGAACTGCAATAACTTCCGGTATCGGTGATGCAACAACGCTCATTGTCAGCGCATGCGTCATCCCACCAGCATTCATATTCCGCCGGATTCTTGTTTTGAGACATGTCGCACTCTGACGGTCGATTTTCATCACTGACCATTGGGCCATCTGTAATAAATTGATTAAAATCTCAATAAAATTCGGTAGGGCGCTTAGTTTTATTGTGATGACAAAGGCTATATTTCTTTACATGTAGCTACGAGTACGAATGTCTACAGTTATCAAAGCAATTATCTACTGCTAGTGTTTTGCACAGACTACTTTTCATTTGATATAAAACCTAGCGTATCCTGGAATTGTTCACCTTATAGCCTAATCAGATCAAACTTAGTAGAAAATCGACATAAAATAAATGTATTTTAAAAAAAACAAAACAACTAAAATTGCAATTCACATTAGTTATTTTCTCCTAATGTAAATTTGGGAGAGACATATAAAAAATAATAATGATTGTCAAGACTTGTAATAAATAAACATATATATCTTTGTCGCAAGCGTAATTTGTATCTTAGACCATATGAATGTGATTGATTGATGCTCAAAATTGAAATCGAGTTTCATCAAACATTAATTTTCATAGCAACATACCAGAAACACATTCCTTCCGACAAGTGTCTTTGGTACAAGGTACCGAGAGATCGCAGTGCATGTTGGGAATAAAATACCCACAATCCATCTAAAACATCATAAAGAAAATATTTTTTACAATGCAAAGACATTCAACAATCATCTTTTTCCCTGTCGTGGCACTGCGATATACATACACATATTCCCGGAAAACTCTGCAACTTTCTTCCTCTATCCTCCATAGTCATAGCAATTCTTTCCTGCACCATTACTAACATCTAAAATAAAATTAGCATTGAATTCTTATAACATTAAATTCTGTAAATAATTTATATCGATGTAAAATATCTTCATGACCTGTTGATATTATAATATGAGATATGTATTATAGGTAAAATATATAATCCATATGACAAACATTTAGAGGTAAGAATTCAAAAATCTAATTACCAGTAATATGATCCACCCAGAAACTCCGTTGCTGTGCTTCATTTTGTCACGATAAAACTGTCCTTTATTGCGAGTGTTATTTATACTCTGAACGTTACATCCTCCAGGGGCTCAAATAAAATCCAAGGTTAGATTTAATTTAGATTATAACGATGATTTATTTCAACAATTATTTAAAATTTTGATTTTATATCACCATATGGGTTTTGGGGGAAGGGCGTCCAAAGCAATGAACTCATGTTATAACGAAACACATGCATCAACCTCGCGAATGTTTGAGCTGTAGATAGCATCCTCAATGTCACATATTGTGTATAAATTTTGAAAGACCTTGAGCAATAGTTTTGATGTATTCCATCGGTGCTGTGAACAATGTATTGAATTTTAACGGTGTTAAAATTTGTTCCATTTCCCCGAGGAATCAATTGCTGTTTAATGTCACAAATTTGATTCATAAGTCTCTCTATCAGTCTTTGCACCTGATAAGGCATTTATTCAGAGAGCATATACATAATATATAGAAATTCATGGAAAAAGGATCCGATCTCGCAGGCATGATTGAAATAAATGAAATGAGAAGAGAGAAATATGAAGATAACAACAGTAATGAAGCTCAAAAGTCCATTAGAACTATACAAATTAGAAGCAGAGAAAAGTGTGTAAAATTCAGTCTGAAAGGACGAAATTAATCAGGATAAGAACACATTTTCTAATCCTTTCTTCTGAAATTGTTTATACTGAATCTTTGGTAAAGTCGTGTCAAAGGTTCTTGAATCTCACAGAAACACATTCATTTATATACATTTTGTCCAAAATTGAAATTGACCACATTAATTTTAAAAGACAATATTGTCTTGGGGACAATACTTTACCAAACTTCAATATAGGAAGTGCCAAAAACTTGTGGTTATTTCTGGTCCAGTATCCCTTTGTTGCTTGACAGCTTATTTTCTAATCAAATGTTTCTTCATTACTTTTTAGCTCAAGTGAACTGAAAGCTCAAGTGACCTTTTCTTATCACCCAGTGTCCAGCATCCGTCCATCCGTAAACTCTTCACATTTTCGATTTCTTCTCAAGAACCACTTGGCCAATTCTAACTTAACTTGGCATAAAGCATCCTCGAGTAAGGGGGATTTTAAATTGTTCAAAAAAGGGCCAAATCTTATTCCAAGAGGATATAATCATGAAAAGGCAAAAAAGGGTGGGGTCATTTAAAAATTTTCTTCTCAAGAAGCACTAGACCAGTAGAGATGATTAGGGTGGGACTATAATTGGGATCATAATTTTACATTGAAAAACACAGGAAAATCTTTTTTAGCGAGGTTCGCTCCTGAGCTTTTGAGCAGATTTTTATCTTAACCTATATTTCAAAAATTCTCCATAATGTTTTAATTCTTACAATAAATTTGGATTCTACAATGCCAATTTAACTATATTCAGTTAAAACTCCATGATTAAATTCCATACCAAAAGCATTAAGTGAGGAACTATATTTTGTGGCGGAAGGTTTTTTTTAGAAGAAAATGATCATTTTTTCTTTTTCTAAGTATCTAAAGTATGTTAAGTTTGGATTCCTATTTTTACGTGCAGTCTGCACACATAGTTATTTTTTTTTGCAGTGGACTGTTTTATACTGGTCCTAAATTATCTATTAAATAAACTGTCATGAATTCTGTCATCATATTTGATAAATATAGCAAATATATTGTGAAAATGAAGAAAAAAATAGCCCTAATTTAAGCTTAAAATTAGCACTATTTTAGTAATATCTAAAAATTAACGTCACAGACCCCCACTTTTAATTTTCTTTTCTGAATATATACGATACTTTTAACCATTCTTCTTAAATTCAGTAAAATGTCATTACTTTCAAATGATTTTTTTGCTTGTTTAATTTTTAATGCCAGAAAAATGAAAATGTTTGAGTGCAAAAAGGTCAAATAATTGAACATGCGGAGTAATTTGAAAATTTCTTCGTTGTCACAAATTTTAATGTGTCTATTTAAGATAAAATAAGACTGTTTTTGTTCCCACAATTTATTTGAACAAAAAATATTGAAGAAAAAACTTAAAAATTGATTTATGTGCAAGATGTATTTTCAGTGCAAAAAGGTCAAACTAAATGCTCTGTAGCGCCAAAAGAAGCGCATTGACCCCCATTTTTTGTTTTGATTTTTAATAAAGCTATGTGTATAAATTCTAAAAATATACTTGATAAAAAATTCTCATTACTTTTGATGACAGGATCCAACCTCCTTAAAACTCTTCTTCTCAAGAACCACTAGAATAGAATAGATGAAACTTATGTGGCAGCTTCCTGAGGTAGTGTAGATTCTAAATTGTTCAAATCATGGCCCTGAGGGGAAAGGTGGGGCCACAATAGGGGATCAATGTTTTACATTCAAGTACATATAAAAAAAAAATCTTCAAAAACCTTCTCAAGAACCACTAGGCCAGAAGAAATAAAACTTCAGTGAAAGCTGCCTGGGATAATGTAGATTCTATATTATTAAATTCAGCCCCCCCCCGGGGGGGGGGGGGGAGGGGGAGGCCACAATAAGGTATCAAAGTTTTACATTGAAATACATAAGGAAAATTCTTTAAAAATCTTCTCAAGAACCAATTGGCCAGAATAGATGAAACTTAATATGTGGAAGCTTTCTGAAGTAGTGTAAATTTTAATTATATAAATCATGGCCCGCAGGAGTAGGTTGGAGCCACAATGGACGATCAAAAATTTACATTGAAGTACACAGGAAAAAATCTTTAAAAATCTTCTCCAAAACAACAGGGCTATAAAAGATTAAACTTACGTGAAAGCTTCCTGAGGTAGCGTAGATTCTAAATTGCTCAAATCATGGCCCCCGGGGATAGGATTGGGCCACAATAGGGATCAAAGTTTTATATTGAAGTACATATAAAAAATTCTTTAAAAAATTTCTTAAGAATCACTTGACCAGAAGAAATGAAACTTGAGTGAAAGCTTTCTGAGGTTCAAACATACCTCCAATCCCCGGGGTAGGGTCGGGCAACGATAGGTTATCAGAGTTTTACATTGAAATACATAGGAACAAATTCTATAAAAATCTTTTTTAAGAACCAATGGGCCAGAATAGATGAGACTTATGTGGAAGCTTTCTGAGGTAGTGTAAATTTTAATTATACAAATCAGTAGTAGGGTTGGGCCACAGTAGGGGGATCAAAGTTTCATAATAAAATATACAGATATTTTTTTTAAAAAAATGTTCAAATTTTACATGGGACTTAATAGGAATTTTTTTTTAAATTCTTTTCAAGAACCACAATCGTGCCATACATATGCTAGCATTCCCAAGTTGAGTGGATTCATTTTTTTTTCTTCACATTATGGCCCATGGGTTAGACTTTTCTAAAATAGGAATCATATTTTACATAATGCATGTAAGGAAAAGAATTTTCTTAATAACAACAAGGCTAAGTTAATCATAATGATATTGAAGCATCCCCATGTTGTGTGAATTCAGAGACCCTTAGAATGCAGCTATAGATGATAGGAAAGGTTACTGTGGTGTAAATTGAGCTGTTATATAAAAAACACGCAAACATTTTTAATTTATATGGTTCAACAAATGTTCTGGTTGTAAACATTCACAACCAATAAACATGATGCTTTTCTTTTTAATATTTAAAAGATCTGTTCTCAAAGACAAAATCATAAGATATGGTAGGAAACTTAACCATTAGAGATGCAGAGGTGAGTAACTTACAATGCTTAAAGGTTTACATTTAAAATACAAACAGCTAAATGACCATTACTCAGTGTTAAATTGCATTCTAGTCTTGCTGTTTATACAATAGCTTTATAAATAAAGTGTCATTTTAGAAAAAAAAATCATTAACAAATCTGCGCTTTGCTACATTCACAAGATACTCTCATCTTACAATTGGAGTATCAAACAATAGAAAAAAAATGACAGGCGTGTATAAAACTCCCATTTTATCTTATTAATAACCTTTATGTCAATTCTTTGGAGCAGAGCAAACACGGACCTCTAAAATCATCAAAGGTTAGATCAATGCCATGGAGGAGTAAGCATCCCCTGTCAATCGGTACATGACAATGATCGTGAAAAGGAAAAATCCGTAGACAATAATGGCCTAACAATTGGTATGAAAAACGTCAGTCAACACTCAATAAAACGATAGACTGTATTGGCTAACAGGGTCATTGTATCATTTGCAAAATGTTGACTTTGAACGAGACCTGTATCACCAACTTAATGTCAATAGCTTGCCTCGTTTCAGAAATTGTTCGTACATCGAGCATGCTCTTCCGTATTGAATCAACTGGGACACATAATCTCCATATGCAGGATGATAATGGTCAGGCCCGTAGAACGCGGGGGGGGGGGGGCAGCTTCCCCCCACTTTTTTGCTGAGTATAGTATTTTGCTATAGTAAAGTTTTCTTTAGATGCTGGTTGGCCCCCTCCACTTGTTGTTGTAAGGTCGTGCCTAAACTAGTCAAGTCTAAGGATAATTAGCATCGACATTGATCGTAAAAAACAAAGTAGATCTGCAGTATAAAGTTTGACTTGACTGCACGTCCATTGCTCCTCTATTCTACAAATCTGTGCATTTTAACTGTTGAATTTCTTTTGCAAGGAAAGAAACAGATATACTATACCAATTATGATGAGTAACTTTTTCTATGTTTTTTTTTCAATTAAAATTAGAAACTTTAATGAAAATTCACAGTACAAAATATAGAAATCTATTTGTCCCAATCTTCTGCTTTATCATTTGATGCCAGCCTCTGCTTTAGGTGATGTATAAGACCGAAGTATTTCGCTGTCTTCTTCGGATAGTCCCCTTTGTAAAAGTGGAACACTCCTTCCGGTTTTTTTATTTAAATCTTTATCATTGGTTTTCCTTACTTTAAACGGCGACATATTCTCTGTCCCATCAGTAGTTGGACTTTCTGGTTTTTGCTGTCCATACATGAGGGATGACGATTCTCTGTGAAGTAACGGCCTACTGGTTCTCTTGGAGAATTTCCGATGATCGAGATCGGAATTCCACTTCGAACCAGACAATTGTCGGCGTCTCAGCGAAGAGACGTCATTCAGAAAATATCCCTCTACTAATGATGTATTTGACATTCTACTTCCAAAGCGTCTAGGACGTTGCCCACAACACACAAAATGTCTTAAGCATGGAACACGTCTAAATACAAATGAATTTTGGATGTAAGAAGCATATAAGAAGCATGTGTAAGATGCTATAACTTCAATTTTAAACACAATTTTTATTGCTTATTTTATGTAAACAAACGTAAGATTCATTTAGTACAGTGGTAATATTCAATAAATTGATATCACATCTTTTTGTCGGGAAGTTACCTTAAATTTTGGCATATTCTAGTGCTAAAAACCCCATATATAATTGGATTGACTGCCGAGTTGAGAGGCGCAAGACTGTGGACGAAAGCTGTTAAAGCCTTCAACGTGTTAGAGTCTGGACTACCCATTTCATATACATGGAAGAGCATAAATCCAAAATAGGGACTCCAGCATAAAATGAAAGCTGAAAATAGAAAAGTAGATAATAGAACCGGATTGCTTTAAGTTACCAAAATAATTCAAATTACATGTAATATATTAACTGGGCGTCAAACTCTATTCTATTGTACTTTTCAGTATATATTTTTTAATTTCAGCATGTTCTATATACTGTATACTGACGTAGAAACACACAGAAACAAAACATGTTTGTGAAACACTGATGCCCCTTATGGCAGCTCATGGCCAAGATGAAAGTTTTTCAAAAGTAGGTGAAACTCCAATGTCAATGTCATGAGGTCAAAAAATGATGGTACCCAAAGGTCCTGTCACATGAAATAAACAGGTGAAATATGAAAACTTTAGCACCAGCCATTCAGAAGTTATGTCCAAGGATAGAAGCTTTCAAAAGTAGGTCGCACTCCAAGATCAGCGTCATAAGGTTAAAAAATATACGTATCCAAAGAAGGTCTTGTCACAAGAAATACACAATTAAAATGTGAAAGCCTTTAGAAGTTATGGCCAAGGTAAACACTTGTTACTGCTTTACAAAAATAGGTCAAACTCGATGGACAAGATCATGAAGTCAAAATTGTTGGTACCCAAAGAAAAGTATTGTCACTTGAAATACACAAGTGAGATAAGAAAGCTCTAGATCTAACCTTTCAAAAGTTTTGGCCAAGGTAAAAACGTTTAACAGATTAACAAACAGACAGACGGACAGACCAAAAACTTCATGAATCTCCGATCATAAGGGCATAAAAGATACTTCATTCTTCCCAATTCTATAGACATGGCAGAAAAACAAGAAGTGCTTCGTAGAAAAATCTTTCGGTAAGATTTTATACTAATACAGCGATGCGATGTAAACTATAAGAACTAGAAATCAGCATTGCGTGTACCCCATTCTAATTGTGCATTATCCAACAGAAAAATGTCGTTTTCAAGCAACTATTTAATTTTTTGCAATATTCCATTGTTTTTTTTTTTGTGCTTAATTTTCCTGCTCAAGATATTTTGCAAAAAATTTTAAATACTGATTATTCATGCGAAATTTCCAGGAAAATAAAATGATGTACACGCAGTTTACCGAGTATTACTAGATGTAAATGAAAACCGTTCTTTCTGATGTTATTATCTCAGAAGTGTCCATGTTTTACCTAAGACGATGAAGAACGTCATCTTGACTGTTCTGATCTTGGCTCGTTCTATGATATGGCTTCTACCTACAGAAGGATTACTGCGACAAGATCCCGTCGTTACTGTCAGTAAATTATACTAGTTAGAATATTATGTGTACACAACATCAAGAAGATAAAGGATTCTATCATAATGATGAATAAATCAAATTCATTAAATCTTATTTCATATATCTAACATGACGTTGTTTAACTTCGAAGGGAAATAACCCCTTGTTATCACAGGGGCCAGTAACGTACAATGTATGATTTTACGTCATCACTATATATATACAAAAAGAAAATGTCTTTTTGTATATATATAGTGATAACGTAAAATCAAACATTGTACGTAACTCCTGTGCTCGTTATAATGATATTCGATAAAATATTAAAAAGATAAATCAGTTTCAAAACAGTGTGATGTAACGGATGTTACATACCGTTGCTTAGTAAACTCTCCTGTCGTTGGAACGTCCAGTTACTATGGTCTCTTTGAACATCACTGTCGCTCCGGCAGATGACGAAAATAATGACACAATAGCAGAAAGTAATGATTATGGCGGGAAATATAAATGCAGCCAGAGCAATGAGAGTCACGTAAACCTGATGAAAACAAAACAGGTAGATGCTTGAACATAACCTAAAACGCCTAAAATATCGAAGTAGCAATTTTTTTTTATTTAACAACAGTAACTATAAAATGTGATAAAAACTAACACGTGCTGTGTTATTTGTATTTTGCTAAGAGTAAAGAAATAAGTCAATAATTAAATACCTTTGACTGATATTTATGACTAAAATTAGGTTCACACAAAGTGACGTTTTTCCCTTTGTAGGTGACATTCCTTTCTGTGACGTCAAACAACACCAAGGTCGGCAATGAGAACAAAAATGCAAGAATCCATGCCACAGAAATGAGGACTCGGGCTCGGAACTCTACAAATACCTAATGTACATAAAAATCTCTACAGTTTCTAAAAAAATGTAAATCCAAATTTTTTTCCTATAAATAAATACATCTTGCTTTATGAAGACTTAATATTAATTGGCATAGTAAAATTGGAACCCAGTCACGTAAATCTCGGGGTTATTCCTTCAGAACCTAACTCTTTAAATCTGTCTCTTTGTTTAATCTTTTTGTGAAACTTAAATCAATGGTAAGACATTACAAGTCAGATTTCTGAATTTATTTTGCTTCAGTACTTACCCCTTCTGGAGAACCTCATGGGTCTTGCTACGGCATCTAGTCTGTCAATGCTTAGAGAAACCAAAACGTATGTAGAAGCGTATAATATCACTACCTTAAAAATATAAATAATGCAATATAGTATATAGAGAATATAAAGTTCTTCAAATATCAGTAAAGTCATACAAAATCATCGTATACTATTTGTTCAAAATTTTCCAAACAAAACTCAAACAAGATAAATGAAATTAAGTACGGTAGGTAAAATTTAAAGTCGAGAAGAAAAAAACACATTAAAAATCATTGATGGCCATGTCCTTTTCATTCATTAGTAATTTCTGCTTTGATAATTTTTATTGATAAAAATGAAAATTAAAAACAAAAATGATGAACTGACGGTACCTTTATGTATTGTAGAAATTTACAAAGAAATGATCCGCCACCAAAGTCTATCATCGCTTTTTCTTTAATGTCTTGACTGACCAAAACCATTCCAACCAAAAGATCTGTAATAGGTTAGTTTTCACAAAATTCTTACTGATATGATATTTTTCTTACTTAACGGGATTTTTTAATTAGAAACGACCCTCAACGCTCACATGAGTCACTTTCACTCTGCTATTTTTTTTTATTTTGCTATTTTTTTTTTTACCTTGGCAATAGGATTGTTCTAAAACAATTCCCTCTTCATTCCCATGAAAAATTTTGACCTCCTATTGCGTCCCAACCTTAGCTCAATTGTCATTACTTCACGTAATTTTAATCCACACATTAATATTCTGGATATCAACATGACATGTGGCCTTTATGTCCTCAAGAAGATTTTTTTCTAAGGTTTTACCCCTATATGCACACATTATGTGAATTTCGCCAGTGTCCATAATTTGAACAAACTTGAATCCACTACAACTAAATGTCAGTAAAATCAGGGTTTAGTTTCGCCCTTTTACTCTCTATTTTTTTTCAAATTTCATATATAATCGAGTGTAAATTTTTGAATCCTTATTTTAACTCCCCCCCCCCCCCCCCCAGCCCTAGGGGCCATAATTCTAACACATATGAATGTGTTCAAATTATGGTCCTTTGAGTATTTTTACATCACAAAAAATGTTTTAAGAGCAGCAGGACCACATGTATATCTCACGATTTAGTTGAAGGATTGGACTACAATAAGGAATGAAATATATACATGTACATAACTATATAGGAAAAACAGTCATTAATATCATCTTTCCGAAAATAGCAGTGCAACATGTACTCATGTTAATATACAAGTATCCTAATGATGTGGAACTTCTAAATCGGCACCACAGGATGTTCATATAATACTATGATTAGTAGTGTCTATCCTGTTCTTAAGAAGATTTTTGAAAGGATTTTTCCTTCAATAAATACATGTAAAATATTGATCTCCTATTGTGGCTCCATCCTATCCCCAAGGCAATAAATTGGAACAAGAATTTGAATTTGCAGAAAGTGAAAAAGTTTGCAAATATATCTTAATAATCATGGCTTTGCTGTTTTTAGTAATTTTTCAAGATTATTCCTATGTATCCTGATGTGAATCTTTGATACACCTATACAATGATGGCCCGGGCTCACCCTATCCAACAAAGCCATGATATGAACAAACTGGAATCTAAACTTTACCAGGAATTGCTTACATAAGTTTCATCTTACCTGGTCCATTGGTTCTTGAAAAGAAGGGTACTCTGTCCGAAGTTGTTTGCAATTAAACAATGCTTCTTGATAACAAGATAAAAATTTGAAAAGTTTACTTCTACACCGACGACGAAAGCGACAACCAATGGATAAATTTTGAACAGCAAAGTTTACTTGAGCCTTTAACACAGGTAAGCAAAAAACACAAAATATTTAGCATTCTAGTGCCCAATGTTGGTATTTTAAGTGAACACAACAAGGTAATCTTTCATGATTTCTAAAAGACTAATGGATTTTTAGGACTAGAAATTTCATTTGTTTTACTGATTACTGTAAAATAATACCTGGAGTACTTTGATTTGGATGTAAATTTGATTCTTGAAATTATTTTCGGTATTCATTACTCTATTTATTATGTAGATATACTGCTCAATAACAATAATAAGTTTGGTCTGTATTAAACCTAAAGTAGAAGTCTTTTAAAAGAAATAATTGTTTACGGACAGAGGTCAAAGGGAGTGATTCGATATCAAAAAAAGACAAAATCTATAGCACTTGCTAAAAATGGCCTTCATTTATACGTGTTAGAGCAATGTCACTTGAAAGAATATAATTGAATATAAGAAATGTTCGAACTGAAGGCCAGGATTCTTTAGATATCAATGAAAGATTTTTTTTCTGAAAATTATATTAAATTAATATCATGATACATGATGAATTCGGATTAGTTATTTAAAATAGTCGAATACATGTATAATGATGTACAACTATTTCTGACTGAAATAAACACGCTTTTTTTCTCTTGCAAATTGCTAAACTGCATGCATATCGGTATATGCAGGTACAGATAATCCAAAGTTCAAGCATTCAGAGACAATAAGGTTATTATTGCATTTCTTATCAAACAATACATTCATCCAAGTGATTGTACTGAAATGTAGTAAGGTTAATAAGGTAAAAACGTTAAATATACAAATTTCTTTACGTATTTTCGCCATCATCAATAAATATTACAGCCATTATGAATAATGTTAAAACCCAAAGAAAAAAAATAAATGTAAAATTATTCACCTGAAATTGCTAAATGCATAATGAAGAAATTCATTCGCGTTTTCCTGCCGTTTTCAGAATATAGCAGCGCCAACAGCACGCATCCATTACCGATAACGATGAACAGAAAAAGTGACGTCACCAATATTAGCTGAGGCACCTACAAAGATAAAGTAAAATAAATCAGACGTAATGGTACATTTACCTATTTTTATAATATCTATATGTCAACGGGGACAATTTTGATTTCAATTACATGTATCATAGGCAGCCAGAAGGCGGTTCCGTTATACGAAAATTTTAATAACAGATATGTATTTTTTAAACAAATGGCTCAACTCTTTGTCTTGCGTTCAAGACATATTAAAAAGAAATCTTTTTAAAAGAAAACTTTAACTCTAGTTCACAAAAATCATTGTTGATACAAAATAGTTTCCGGCAGTCATAAAGATTAGGAGATTTTAACTTCGTTATTAGCGTATACTTCAAATTCCGTGTTGAGTACAGAATAAGAATACTTGCATACCACTAGTTTTCAATTTTTTTTTTAAATATTTTGCAGAAATTGTTATTTTTTCCCCATAAACACCTTCAAAATTGTGCTGCCGTGTGTTGGGTTTACTTATTTGTGTGTGTACAAGTATCCTCGATAACATACGATAAAATCTTGTATTAGTTTTTATATCTACCCCGACCAGCCCCACACCCTAAAACAGAATAAAAAGTAAAGCTTACTAAAGAAATTATTTGGCTAACTAGTATCACTTCTCCCCCAGGGAAAATTCTCAATGAGAAAGAGAGACAGGGAGATTCCCAAATACATGCGAGTAATAAATTATCGCGTAATTTCGCTAGGAGCACCACTCGCGAAATAAAATTACTTGCTTTTATTTGTATGGTGCTGAAATGCTTGTAAAATCTCTTGATCAAACGTATATATATACTCGCGATTTTTTTTCATGCGATTTGACTTTCAAGGGCCATTTCGCGTAAAATAAGCAATCTACAGTAGATACGCTTAACCCCTACTGTTTTTGATAAGTATTAATTATGTTCTCTTCATGGCAAACAAAATTTCCCACGATATTGATCAGACATTTGCTTTATAACCAAAGGCACTCTGAACCAGGACTTTGACAACCTATGCATAATTTTTAACGGATACAATTAAAGGATTCTTAGAAAATTGGTTGAGCAATATTTGATGCCTGCATATAATTGCAAATCAGGTGATACTGACCCAGAAATATATATATGACATCGCCAACCTAGTTCAAATGTTTGAAGACTATCATATTAAGATTCTGGATTCTGTCAAACTGTGATTAAAGCTTTATGATAAGAAAGTCTCACTTCTCAAAATGATGGTAGAAAAACATTTTAGATTAGTATAGCAGAAGACCGAACCTATAACATTTTGGCATAACAAGTAAGTGTTACGTAATTAGGTCATCAGCTTAAAAGGGTGTTTGTCAAACATCTTTTGATATGTGGATTTAGAAGAAATCTGGATGGCTTTTGACCTTTTATTCTAAAGATACATAGGGCCATGACCAACTTGTGTACATGATGAGAAGACTAATAAGGAAAGAGTTCCTTGGCTGTAGTTGAAAACCTTTGATTTACAGACACATTCGGTGTAAGGTAATATACACCAGTTTTAAATCGAAAGCAAAGTAAAATCTCAATTTTTCAGAGTAGAATTTTAATTATGCAAAGTAAAAACCTATTTTTCAGAGTAGTCTGTTGTTAAGAATTTCTGTATTGATACTAGCCATAAAGTCAGTCATTACTTCCCTTGTATTGAATTATTTGCTCGTACTTTTTTCACAAAAAATGTTTTATTCGATTACTCGGTTCTGATCTAAACAAACTGCAAATTCATCGTAGTTTTTCCAAACGAGCAACGGTAGCTCAGTCAATAGAGCCCTCGCGCCGTGATTGGAAGGTCGTGGGTTCAAACCCCGGCCACCACTGACCTAAGTCAATAAAAAAAATAGGTAGTAACTATTCCTTCGCTAAGTGCTCGACACTTCAAAGAAAAAGTGCGAGTCTTTCGGATGAGACCTTAAAAACTGAGGCCCCGTGTTATCACGGCAGGCGTTAGCACGATAAAGATTCCTCACTACTCAATGGCCCTGAGTGCCGAGTAAAGGTCTAAATTTGAAGCCCTTCACCAGTATATGGTGACGTCTGAGTGAAAAATAAAATTCTTCTTAAAACAATATACAATCAATTAATCCAACCGAGCATTGTTTTTTTTTTTTTTTTTTTTTTTTGTCAAAGCTTATCCCGCAAACATATGCCATGTTAAGGAAATTAGACAGGGTACGTGCTTTAGCATGGCTAATGGAGGGCTTATCACGCAGTATACTTTCAAGACGTTTAGGAGGCTACCAAATACACAATATCCCGACTTAATAATCGAATCAGAGAGACAGGAAAAAAAAATGACCGTCGAATAAGAGGTAAGCCCCGGGAGACCACACTGGAGGATCAAACAATCAGACTCTTATACTTGCAAGACAGGAGTAGGACGGCTGTTCTTCCGCATCTGTCTTCCCTCGAAGAAGGGAGTGAGAAAACTATTCGAAACAGGAGACCAAATGTGGGATTACCATTGAATGATAGAAAACGGAGGGTGCGTCTCGATTGGATATAACGACCGACAGAGTTATGAAAGTGGAGATTCTTTTCACTGAAGAGTTTATGTTCACTTTACACAGGGCAGATTATCGAAAACAAATATACAGACGGCGTGGGGAACGCTTTGCAGATGCATGCGTATTAGAGAGACTGCTTCGGTGGGGGATCCCTCATGGTGTGGCGAGGCATTGCTTTCAGTGAGAAGATGTCTCTCAAAGTGATCAATGGAAATTTGAAGCTGCGCAATACTTTGACTGTATCCTTTCTACAGATGTGCCTTATGTTCAGCAGCATAAGCTAGGGCTTCAATATTTTGCAAGGGTATTCTGTAATAATTGAAATAAGACCATTCTTTTGTTACCAATACTTTTTGTCCTCATGACTTTGACCTTAAAGTTTGACCTTCTTTTGAAAAACTTTTTTCCTTGCCCATGGCAACTTAACGTTTTTGTTCTAGGTCTTTTGTATTTCAAATGTATATTCCTTGTGACAAAACCTTTCTTTGGGTGCGAACTTACTGGTATTTTTACCTTTTTTACCTTGTAGATTGACCTACTTTTGGAAAACTTTAAATTTGGCTATAACTTCTGAACGGTTGGTGTTAGGGCTTTCATATTTCACTGTGTATTCCTTGTGACAATAGCTTTATTTGGTTACAAACATTTTTTTTACTCTTGACCTTGAAGTTTGATTGACTTTTGGAAAAAAAAATTCACTTTGGCCATATAGGAGCATCCGTGTTTGACAAACATATCTTTTTCTCTTTTGCCCCAAACACCGTTAAACAAATGGCGATAAAGGTACATTCATGCACAAATCTTGCTAATATTGTCAGAGACAAATTTTGTATAACTGCTCTTATGTAAAACTCAAACGTGAATTGCAATACCTACTATTCCCATATTTTCTCTCAATAGAGATGTCCAAAAATACCGTAAATGAGCAGTGTACTTCAGTGATCCGAAGTCAGAAATGAAAAGTAGATAGAAGGAACAAATAATTTGCGAAATTGGCAAAGTGCAGGTATCTTATAAATAAAACCTGGTTATTTCCGTACTAATCCGTGCTAATGCAATACTAGTCCCCTACCGGCAAGTGTAATCTGGTTCCCCGTTAAAAATTGAAAATGCCTTAATTCCGTCAAAAATTAACGAAGTGGAAGGAAATGCGAACTTGATCTATAACTCATCAAGGTAAAGTCGCATACCAAAAATCAGCTCAATATCTGCAAGCATTTAGAAAAAAAAAGTGCGGAAAACCCTGAAAAATTGAAAAGGTCGCAATTCCGTCAAAAATCATGGATGCGGAACGAAATGCAAACTTGGTCTGTAACTCATCAAGATACACTCACATAACAAAAATCAGCTCAATATCTGCAAGCGTTTTGAAAAAAAGTGCGGAAAACCAAGTGGGACAGACTGACAGACAGACAGAGGGGCAGCTAGACAGACGGACGGACAGACTCAGAGGAAACCTATAGTCACCTCCGGTTTCACCGGTATGGGACTAAAAACACAGGAATGTTTCTGTGCTTTAATGGTTTTCAAGTGGCATAACAGACAACACAAGTCATGAAGACAGTCAACACAAAGTGAGAGAGACAAGGACATGTTTGGAATTAGCAAATTATTCATTTACTAGTTACTATCATAAAAATTGAGGATGCTTAAGATATGTGCAGGCTGGGCACTCCAGATTTTGAAAAAAAGTATGAATTTTTGATTTCCCATGAATATCACCGGAGATTCCAATCGGGCCAAGAAAAATCCCTGAATAAAATAATTCCGACCTTGACATGTGGCTGTACAACTATGATACCGAGAGCAAATGAGAATTTAGTGTTTGGAGAACATATCTGGAACACCAACATCAAGAGAGTCGAAAGTTTCAAAATCTGTCATTGAGCGCATATGTTTTTCATGTTTAAGGAAAGATAGAAATTACTACCCCTGCGCAGAAGGTTATCTAAGGTAGAATCTATGCATGCATTAAGGAAAAGAGGCCTGTATTGGCTACAAAGAAGGAACGTTCTAACTTCGCAATTTTCATTAAGATGATGCCGAATTAAAGAGTAGAGCAAATGGAGTAAGAAAGATTACCCATAACCGTACAGTCAAGATTTCGCGCTGACGGATTTTGATCTTTTTTTTTAAGCATAGGAAACATTGAACAGCATCACCTAAGTTTAAGAGTAAAAGAGAAAAGCCTAGCTTAACACTAATTAAAGTACTTATTATGAATGAAAAACAATTGCACAGCCTAAAAAAATATTTGCAAAAGTGATTTCTAAAGTTTTTCGTAGGAAACCTAGCTTCTTGATTTGAAACTAGTTTCGACGCGGCAATAGTTTGTAAAACTTTATTTTTCTCAACTTTAAGCTGCAGTGTAAGTTGTAAACCAAGGTATTAGATTGAAAAAAAATATTTTTTACAAGAGGTCCAGGGGCTTTAACGGTTCACCTGGGGATGATACAACATTGTCAAGGATCCATAGTATAGAATAAAACAAAATAAA